AGCACCCTCTGTTGAGCACTGACTCCCCAAACTACTCTCCAGCCACACCTCAGACCTGCTGACTGGTCATCTACACCCTTCCAAGCTGGGCCCTGGGATCTGTCCCTCCTCTTGTATTTCCTAGCTTAGTGAAGGATTGCCCCATTCACCCAGTCGTCCAGGTCTACACTGGGAATTCATTCACTTAATACATGCAGCACGTATTCATTAGGCATGTCCTGTCTTCCAGGCAGCGTGGTAGGTGGGGCCACCTGTCAATCTAGGCAAACGAGGATTTTCTTCAGTAGAAGCAGACAGATTTGCTTAAGTGCTGAGTTCCTGCCTCCCCCTCACCTACTGTACATCAAGTACTGTGATTCCACCTCCTAATCCCTCAGGTAATTTCCACCCCCCTCCCCACACACACACACACACTCCCACCCCCGGCTCTCATGGCCCCTGACTTAGTTCATGATTTCTTGCCTGCGCTTCAGAGACAGCTCCCTTAGTGGTCTCTCTGCTTCTGTCTTGCCCTCCTCTGATAAGCTGTCTGAGTCTTTTATTTATTTATTTATTTAAGAACCAGCAGGGGGACCAGCAGGGGGACCAGCAGGTGGCAGGGTGGTAAGGTGCTGGAATTGGCCAACCACAGTTCCAGTCCTGGACCTGGCAGCTTGCTTTCTAACTCTCCTTCTCTCACTCTCTCTGTCTTTCTCTGGCAAAACTCATATGAATAATAAGAAATAAATAATAATAAAGAACCAACAGGTGGCATGGTGATTAGGGCACTAGACACTCCCATGTGGCTGACCATGGTTAGAGTCCCAGACCTGTTGGCTTGCTTTCTTTGTCTTGTTTTCCCCCCCCCCCCCCCCCCCGCCTCTCTGTGTCTCTTTTTGGTCAAATCAAAATAAATGGATGAATAAATAATTTAAAAAATTAATTTTTTAAAGAATTATTTTATTTAACTTTATTTATTTAATTATTTTTAATTTGACCAGCGAGGGACAGAGTGAGAAAGAGAGAGAGAGGAAAAGTGAAAAAGAAAACCCACCAGGTCTGGGACTTGAACTGTGGTTGGCCAAGTGGGAGTCCAGTGCCCTCAACTATCATACCACCTGCTGGCCCCATGAGTCATCTTTTAAAACTGCAGATCTGGTGGGCCTGCAGGTGGTTTGGTAGTTAAGGTGCTGGACTCCCACTTGGCCAACTGCAGTTCCGAGTCCTCGACCTAGAGGCTTGTTTTCTGACTTTCCCTTTCTCTTGCGCTCTCTTTCTTTGTCTCTTTGGTCAAATTTAAATAATAATAATGATGATAACAAGTAAAACTAAATATACTCCTGTCTTCCATTCTAGCTGTCTCACTGTCCCTTGTATTCTAGTCATGTCAAGGTGGTTAAGAACTCAAGGCTCGGGACCAGCAGATGGTGTAGTGGTTGTGTCGTTGGACTCCCATGCAGTTGACCATGGTTCGAATTCCAGACCCGGCAGCTTGAAACTCATGCCGGGCGCATGTGTGTGTGTGCCCAAAATCCTGAGAGAAGGATAGAGGAGAAGGGATTGCATTGTGGCCATCTCTGGGGGGTGATTTCTCACTTTCTGTCTCTCTGGTGAGCACATGTACCCTATAGCAAAAAAAAAATCTCTGTTAGAAAAAAAATAAAACTTTTGGGGCAAGCTGGTGACGTGATGGTAAAGGCAGCTGGATCTCACATGGCCAACTTGTGTGGTTCAAGTCCCAGACCCATCAGCTTGAAAAACATTTCCCAGTGCATGTGTGTATGCATGCCCAAAATCCCGAGAGGAGAATGGAGGAGAAGGGATTGCAGCATAACCATTCCCCAGGTGGCGCTTTTTCACTTTTCCTCTCTGCCTGTCTCTCTTTCCCCTATGAGCACAAATGCCCCATGACAAACTAAAGGGAAGAAAAAGCTCAAGGCTTTGGAGTCAGGTAGACATGGATGTATGCATATTCTGCTGTACAATTACCTAGCTGTGAAGTTAGATTTTTTTAATAAATAGTTTTTATTTAATTTTTATATATTATTATCATTTTAAAATTTGACCCAAGAGAAAGGGGTAAGGAAAGTGAGAATGCAAGCCACCAGGTCTGGGACTCGAACCATGGTCCACCAGGTGGGAGTCTAGTTCCTTAACCACCATGTCATTTGCCAGCTCTAGTTTTTTTTTTTTTTTTTTTTAAACTTGTTTCGCT